CAAAGTCGTTAAAAGTTAAATGATACATGTACATTATACGTTTACATTTAATATACTATGTAAAACAGTAATGTGTTGCAAATCCAGTAAATTACTGTACAATAATGTAATGATACATGTAACATTGTATGTGAATTTCATTCTATTGGTGGTGTCACCTTACTTTGTACATGTACTTTGGTAATTTCAATTACATCACGGTGATGAACAATAAACAAACTTTAAACAATGATAATTAAATCTCATTTTAACATAAAAGAAACTTATTAGTTCTTGAATAGAATATGCTTAGCTTTTTAGTGAATGTAGTATTTTCTTTTAAAATTTATCGTTTTTTTGTACATCAAGAACCCGAAGTTTGCATCCCATTAATACTGTTCAATGCATACCGATAAATCGGGGGATGCCCGATCAATGCGTGAATAAAGATAAATGCATTCATAGATATAAAAGACGAAAAGACAAAGAGGATTCAAATAAAAAGGGCGTCTTGTATGCACAAACAAAAAATGGAAATAATTAAAATAAAAGATCTTTTATAAAAAATGAAGTATTACAAGTGGCCTGATCCTTATTCACATGCAATCAAAAAAAACAAGTATTGTATTGTCCCGAAAATAAGCACCACTTTTTGGAGGGTGTGGTGTAAACTCTCCCGAAAATGCAATTCTAACAAAATCTCTTTAAACTAGTGTTTCCAATTTCTAATTCTTAGGATGATAAGTATCTTAAGAGCGAACAAGAGTTCATTTCTTTTGTTTCGTTAACGATATCGAAAGTGAATTAGGACTGGTTTTTTCTTGGTGAACCTCTAATGAATTCATAGTTTGTTCAAGCGATCTTCTCAAATTTCAACGAATCCTTAGAATTCCTCTAGAAGACCACTAGAAAATCAGGAATGTTTCTGGTAGTTCACCAAAAAATCATTAACGTTAATGTACCAATCCTTTTCTATCTACGGAGTTTGTTTGTCTGCTTTGAAATTTCGGTTAAATTTCTGATACAAGTTGAATGATAATTGTTTCTTAAATTGATGCAATTGATAATGAGAAATTATAAAAATGATCGGATGATAACGATAAAGGAACTTCATATCTTTAAAACGTTGTAGTGCGAATAAAAAATCTGCGTGTTAACAATATGTACATGTTTGTAGAACCTTCATAAAAATGCAAACTTTACGTTGCATCTCAATTAACAATATGCATAAGCTTGTAGAACCTTCATGAAATGCAAACTTTAAGTTGCATCTCAATTCAGTGGTATTAAAATCTGTGTGTGCTAGCAGCATCTACATGTTTGTAAAAATCTTAACTTTATTATTTAAAACAAACTAAAAATAGAGATATAAAAATAATAAGAGATGATAAAAATTAAAGAAAAATATCAAAAAGAAGGTCCAGTATTTATAAAACTAAATTTATAAAAGATCTGCATGCGTTACTAATATAAAATTAAGAGGCAATATTATGTGACCAACGAAATACCTCATTTTAAAATGATCAGCATAATCAGCCAATGACGAGATTTTTCTTATTAATGACAAAAACAAAAAAATGGATTCAATAAATAGCGCACGCATCCTTTGAGAAAAAAGTTCTTTAGACAAAATATAATAAAATAAACACGAATCATTATGTCGAATTTATTTTTTCCTTCGTTTCCACCAAACATCTCTTTAAATCAATTAATGAATCGCAAACAAAAAAAGCCTGTTAAAGCATTTATAATTTATCGAAATAACTATTGTCGCGAAATCTCAAACAATGGAAAGATATCTCATTCAAGAATTACTTCCATGGCGAGTCTAGCTTGGAAACTAGAACCTCAATATGTTAAAGAAACATACTATGATATCGCCAAACAGGCTCAAGAAATTTATTTGGCTACTAAGAATCACGGTGACAACTGTAGAAGTCAACCAGAAAATGCGTATGAGGACGTTCATGCAACAACCGAAATTAATGCCTTAATCGATAATGACGTTCAAGCAACATTGATTAATAATCAACCAGAAAATGTGTACGAGAACGCTCAAGCAACAATCGAAAATGATGACTTGACCGATAATCAACAAAACGGAATTGTCGAGGAGATAGAAATTAATCCTTTAATAGAGAGTGTTGAAATTTCTTTTAACAATCCCTATGTTGATGTCAACGTTAATTCCGAATTCATGAATATGCAAAATCACCTTGCTATTCTTGAGAACGAACTCGTCTCAATTTATACTAAGCATGAGAATGAAATAATTTCAATGAGACAGGTTATATCGGGATTGAAACTTAAAATTATGCAATATTATACTATACTTGGAATTTAGTTATATAATATATAACATTTAAATAGCGTTCTTTAAATTGCTCGTAAAATAACTACGTAAACAGAATAGTTGTTGCGAATCATTACCATCATTATATTCAAACATCTATTACGTTTTTAGACATTAGTCTTTCTGCTTCAATGTATGGTTAATTTGCTTATGTTTCTACAACAATAAAAGATACTTCATTCATTTAAATTACATTATCGCATCAATTTTAAAGACATTAAAATGTATTCCTGTATGGGCACAAAATACTGAAGCAAAACATTATTCTTGTCGTTTGCATATTTCAAATTCAGCTTTTTTGCTGCTCTAGCGATGGTTGTCAATAGCGAGTTTTGGTCAGTTTTTTGAATTTTGTCGTATACAGTATGTAAGCTTAGCTGTATCCTATAGTAATTCTATAAAAATTGTAATTCATTTCATGTTCTATTAATTATTTGAAAAACAATTGCTCGCCAGAAACAAACCGAATTCATTAATAGAAGTGTTATTCAAATAGATTCGTCTTGATTTGTTTTTTTGCCAACTTTGAACCGATCGTCAACGAATCGTATTGACGAACTATTGTCGCCTAAATTTCTGTTAAATTTAAGATGTCGTTGATGACGACGATGATGATGTTGTCGTTTCTTTATTTATATGCTGTAATCAGATTATTAACTTGTGATTCAAGAATTTGATGGTTACTTCATCATCGAAACTGAATGATAATTGCCGTCTTGTTGTGTAAATAAGGATTTTGTCCCGGGGAGTAACTTTTTGCTCTTCGCTGGATATAAGCTTTGCGAATCTGAAAGATTGGATGACGTCAATTAGTCACCAATATCGCGCCGGTATTTTGCTGCCGGCTAGAATCATTATACCAGGGTAGTTCAATGTTTTCAAAAATATTCAGGTGATTAAGCTGTTTGTAAACTTTCTCATCTTTGAGACTATCTCTATTCTAATCACATAATTTTTGACACTTCTCTTATTGAAAATAATTTAATTTATTTCTAGTGTTGATGTTATTGATTCATTTTGTTCATTAAAATTACTAGTATTTAAACATTATTATATCTTTAACTAAAATAAATTAATGTAATATTTGAAAGTTACTTTTTACAAAATAATTACTTCTATAATTAGCTTTA